GACAGACAGACAAACAGTTAAAGAAAAAGAGGCCACACATTTGAGAGAGAACTATGGGAGGATATATGGGAGGGAGTGGTGGGAAGAAAGAGAAAGAAGAATAATGTAATTATAATTTCAGAAAATAAAAATATTACATTTAAAAACAAGTTCTAAAATTTAAAAAAAAAAATAAAGCCTCTTGTGTTAAAAAAAAAAAAAATTATCTCATGCTGTCTTTAGTTCACAAGAGATGTATTCTTTGCCCACTTCTGTGGTGTGGGACCTAATATCCTAATGAACAGATGGGGGGAAAAAAAACATTGGAATGTATTAACAAAACCGTATCAACCAAAGGTCCAAGAATGGTATCAGATAGCACCTGAGGCCTGTAGCTGAGATCTATCCCTGTCTGTAACCTGTCTCTCTGTTAACAAGGTTTTGTTGTTGTTGTTGCTGTTTTTTGTTTTTGTTTGTGTTTGTGTTTTTTGGTTGTGAGCCTAGCCTTTAATGGCTGAGCCATCTCTCCATCCCCATCAATGTATTTTTACAAATGCCTTAATTTATGACTTTCTTTGTTCTGTAACTATAGATACTTCATGAAACTGCCTCCACATTGAAACATAGAATTTGGTGGAGTAACCTAAATCTGTGTTTCTGGGCCATGATGACTCAAATTTGCCTCCCGAATAAACTGACTCTTGTTTGTTTTGAGGTGAGAGCTGTGTTTTTACATCAACAGTAACTGTAGTCCTCATACTGTGCTTGAGAGTTCTAGACTCACTCATCTACAGTCCTCATACTGTGCTTGAGAGTTCTAGACTCACTCATCTATAGTCCTCATACTGTGCTTGAGAGTTCTAGACTCACTCATCTACAGCCCTCATACTGTGCTTTAGAGTTCTAAACTCACTCACTCATCTACAGCCCTCATACTGTGCTTTAGAGTTCTAAACTCACTCATCTATAGCCCTCATACTGTGCTTTAGAGTTCTAAACTCACTCACTTATCTACAGCCCTCATACTGTGCTTTAGAGTTCTAAACTCATTCATCTATAGCCCTCATACTGTGCTTTAGAGTTCTAAACTCACTCACTCATCTACAGCCCTCATACTGTGCTTTAGAGTTCTAAACTCACTCACTCATCTACAGCCCTCATACTGTGCTTGAGAGTTCTAGACTCATTCTTCCCACTTAATTGCACCTTCATGCCTTTTGACCAATACCGCCCCCCTCCACACTGGTGATTATGTATTTGAGTTCCTTAGATTTTATATATGAGATCACATAATAATTTTTTTCTGTCTAGCTTATTACACTTAACATAATGTCCTTCAGGTTCATCCAGAACAAAAACAAGCAAGCAAGCAAGCAAGCAAAAAAACGGTCTGGATGTGCATCCAGGCTGGTCTCAAACTTGTGAGTCTCCTGCCTCAGCCTTTCAGGTTCTGAGATTACAAGACCTGTAGCACCATACCTGCTTTCTCTTTTTTTGTTTAATGACTAAATGAAATCCCCAGATATGACCATTTCTTTACTTATCTGTCACCTGATGCTTAGGTGGCTTCCATAGTTTGACTCTTGGATGAACATGGAACACAGAATCTCTTAACTTCCAGATTTCACTTTCTTTTGAGCGTGCATACAAATAGTTGGATTGGTAGGTCATTTGTACTTCTAACTTCCTTTAAAGATTTGTTATATTTTTTATATTTTTTGCTATATATATTTGATGTGTTTTTTAAATTGCGTGTCTCTATCTGTGTGCATGTATGTGAATGCTGGCCACAAAGAAGGCATCAGGCACTCTGGAGCTAGTTTAGTTACAGGTGTTTGTGAGCCACCCGGTGTGGGTGCTGGGAATTGAAGTTGGCAAGAGCACTGTGCCCTCTTAGCCACCGAGCCGACTCTCCTGCCCTCCTATTTTTAATTCCTGAGGAAGTCCTGTGTTGTTTTCCATAATGCCTATACTAATTTACATTCCCACCTACCAATACCAGATCACCAAAATAGTCACCAAGAGAATCCATGAATGAAATAACTAATTAAAGCTCCTGCTGGAGAAGACAGAAATAAAAAACAGCCTTGAGGGGGAAAAAAAAAAAGTGGAGAACTGCAAATTGAAAAGGTAGGAAAACAATTAGGAGTCACATGGCTAGCTCCCTCCTTCAATTAAGGAGCCAAGGGGGCAGCTCTCACTCTGGAATAAATGAAGAAACCTGGGTGAACCCGAACCAGATCGACAAGGAGGAAGAGAGAGGTCGGGGGTGGGGAGCAAATCAGGAACACAAACTCCAGGAGGAAACTACTCCAATGGAGCGCTTTGTCCAAGTTCCGTACAGTTTCCACCAAGGCTATGGGAGCACTCTGCCTGTGAGCCAGCCTGGCCTCTGGAGACACTGTAAACAGCAAGACTGGAGGCAAAACCTGGGCCCTCCTGTTTTCCTAGCCAGGCCAGGGCCTACACTACCAGCAAATGCCTCTGAGTCCTGCGTCTACCCTTACAAGAGGGCTCAGCTTCAGGCCATTCTCACCCGGATGAACCCCAACCTGAGTCTGCGGCTCTGCCAGGCCAACACTAAGGACGTGGCTGTGCAGGTGAGCCTTCGGGTGGACAAGGCGGTGCAGTGCTCACTGGGACCTCAGACCCTCTACAGCGGCTCCCTCTGGGACAGATCCAGCCTCGGGAAGCCCCCAGAAGCTTCCTGGAGGAGAGCCTTGGTCCAGCTGCCCAAGGAGGAGGGACACAGGGAAAGCCTAGAGCTTACGGCCAGTCCATACACATCGACGAAGCCAGATGGTGACAAGCAGGAGAACCTCCCACAGCTGAAGGAAGTCGGGGAGGAAGATGCCCCCAGCCCTCGGCATGGGAAAAGCAAGCTGGTAGGTGGAAACAGTCACAGGCCACTACTTAAGCCCTCCTCCCCAGCACCATCCTTCCCGCTTCATTTCCAGAGCAGTGAGTGCTAGCTGGCTCATTTCTACCTTATCTCTGGTGAGGAAGGTGGAGTTCTGGAAGCCTGTACTTTGTCTACATGGTCTGGATGTTTTTCAAGTTTTGGTATGATAGGGTGTGGATCCTCACTTAGCAGTCTTGTCACTTCTGCCAGTGATGATGAGGGGACAGTGAGCTTCAAGTGTGCGAAAGGTGAACCTGGATTTTTATGTTGGGAGACGTTGGTGTTGTGGGAAATGGACTGAAAACGTTATCCTTGAGAAGCCCAGACGCTAAATGAACAGAGCTGCATAGAGGGTAGCTGAAAGCGAGGCCCAGGAAGTCAGTTGTTTCATTTAGGCTGTCAGTTAGGAAACGAGGCTCTAGACCCCATCCCAACCTACCCCCGTAGTAATAGACTCCCGTTTCTCTTTATTTTCAGTTTTTGGAGCCAAAGTACGGCTATTTTCACTGTAAAGATTGTAAGACCAGATGGGAGAGTGCTTACGTGTGGTGCATCTCTGGTACCAATAAAGTAAGCAAACGTGGGGGAGGGGCACCGAGGCTTGGAAGGCACAGGTGTTAGCAGGAGAACTGGGTTTCCACCCCTTCACCTTGGCGTCCTTGCTGACAGGCAGCAGTGATGGATTTTATACTGACATTCCTGCTTAGTGGGACTGTCAATGAATAAGTAAATAGATGCACTACCAGGAGTGGTAGCGTAGAAGCCCGTAACTGCAGCACCTGGGACGGGAAGGAGCAGGTTCGAGACCAGCCTAGGCTGCATAAAAAGACCTTCACACACATCCCAAAAACAAATAAGCTGGCTGGGCGGTGGTGGCACACCTTTAATCCCAGCACTTGGGAGGCAGATGCAGGCAGATCTGTGAGTTCGAGGCCAGCCTGGTCTACAAGAGTGAGTTCCAGGATAGCCAGAGCTACACAGTGAGACCCCATCTCAAAACAAAACAAGACAAAATCCTCTCCAGTGTCTAGTAAATAGTCTAAAAAAAATCCCGTTTCCAGTTGAGCCTAGTCACACAGGTCTAATGTGATTCTCTAGGTAACAGTTTGTGCCTTAAATACTGTTATAAACTTAATTTCCTACGTACATATTTCTTGTCATGGGTAAATTTGGGTGTCCTCATCTACTCTAGGGAGCTCCCCTATTTTTTTTCCCTATCAACTTAGGCTATTCTTAACATTGTTTATTGATGGAGTTCTTTGCATGTTTCACTTCCTGTGTAAGTATAAATTATAAATTAAAAGTATAAATTACTTTGAACTAACAGTGTCTTTTGGTCACTATTATTTATTTATTTATTTATTTATTTATTTATTTATTTAGACCAAGTCTCACCATGTAGCCCTGGCTGGCCTGGAACTCACAGAGCTTTGCTGGTTTCTACCTCCCAACTGCTGGCATTAAGGGTGTGTGCCGTTGTGCCAAGATAGTATAAGGTTATTTTTAAGGGTTTCATCATCTCTGCAGATGTCAAATCTGGCATTTTCTGTCGAGACATTAAACTTCTTGCTAAAAACTGCTGATAATGCCTTCTAAATTCATTATCAGGCTATTTTTGTATTGGTGTCTATTGACTACTTTCAATATAGTCATTTTTTTTTTTTTACTAGTCCTTGGAAACCTGGCCATTTTCCTTTCTTTTGTTTTCCTTGAGTTAGGGTCTCATGAAGCCCAGGTTGGTCTCAAGCTTGCTGTATAACTGGTGAGGATGATCTTGAACTTTTGTTTGTTTTTGGCAGAGTGTCTCTATGTAGCCCTGGCTGGCCTGAAATTTCCTATATAGACCAGGCTGACCTCAAACTCTCAGACTCCTGCCCCTACCTTCTGAGTGCTGGGAACCTGTGCCCTGCTTCTTTTCTTGAAGTGTGATTTTTGTTCCTGCCTACTGGCTAGACTCCACAAAGCCTGAAACGTTTGTCCTCCACACCTGTGCCTCTGGCAGCAAGAGAGTCAGCTCTTTACAGTTTGGGGCTTGGTCTATGCTCTGGGCAGCCACCCCTCAGCCCCTGGACAGGAGGAGAGCCAGCCTGAGGGCGGCTGGAGCTTTTACTCTGTTTTATTCGAATTTCTTGTTACCTTTTGAGGCAGGGCCTCAGGTAGCACAGGCTGGTCTTGAACTTCTGATTCTCCTGTTTCAACCTCTTGCTGCAGGGATTATGGGTTTGTGTCTTCACACCTGGTTAGAATTTAAAACCAAGTTAACTTCCTATCCCTTTCTCACCAGAAGGAAAACTGTTTGGCTGAATTCAGATCCTCCCAAAGTACTGGGGTACAAAGAGCAGGTTAGAGAACTCACTTCAAGAAGTGCATTCTGGAATATTCAGAGACGGGTAATGCCTGGGGGGCGATTGAGAACCACCGCTTTAAAGTAACAGAAAGACCAGGCATGGCGGCTTTTAGAGGCAGAGGAAAGTTCACCTCTGCAAGTCTGAAATTACCTTGGTCTACAGAGCAAGTTCAGCCAGCCAGGGCTACATAGTGGAGACCCTTTCTCAATAAAAACAGAAAACTGAGACATTGCTAAGTAAACCAGGGAGAAAATATCCAGGAGAATTGTCTCCTAGCCTAGAAAGTAGACGATGCTGATGGTAGCCATAAGGAACCAAATTCAAGTGGGAAATTAGACATTTCAGAGCAAAATGAGTGGGACAAAAGGAGGAATTGGCCTGCACACTGAACAAAACTAGCAACAGCTACTTCCTAAGGAGTACCCACTATGGTTCTCTGTGTGTTGCTGAATAGTCATCGGGACTATAGAAAAAGTAATGCTCTCTCAATTTTACAAGTGAGGAAAATGGAAAATAACTGATGGAACTCACAGAGCTTAAAACCTCAAAGTATAGGCTGGTGAATCGCCTCATTGGTTAAGAGGACCGGGTTTGAGTTCTAGCACCTACATGGTGACTCACAGCCAGCTGTAGTCCCAAGGGAGCCAATGCCCCCTTCTGGCCTCCTCTGGAAAATGCATACACATGGTACACAGACATATGGGGGGTGGCAACCAAAACAAACAACAAAAAAGGAAAAAATCCCTCAAGAGTAGAGGTTACATACAAGACACGAAGTACCAAAGTGAAGGAACACATTGTATCAAAAGAACTGGGGGCTAGGTTGGAGAGGAGGTACAGCAGTTAAGAGCCAACCCCAGGTCTGTTCCCAACACCCATATGGCAGATAACAACCACCTGTAACTCCAGTTCTAAGGGATCTTGCGCCCTCTTTTGACCTCTGTGGGTACTGCACATACTCAGTGTGCATGCAAACACGCATACACAAAACTTTGAGCAAAAAATAAACAATAAGCAAATTATATTTAAAAAAAAAACCTGCAGCAACTGGGAACCTAGGAAATGAATGCACATACCAGCTTGTATTAAAAAGGCCAATTTCTCTTTAGGTTTATTTCAAACAACTCTGTTGCAAGTGCCAAAAGAAATTTAATCCTTACAGAGTGGAAGCAATCCAGTGTCAGGTAAGCACACAGTATGCTTTGATTATCTGCCATATTTCCATTTGTCTGCGTGGAGCTTCCATCACAAAGGTTTGGATCTTACAGACCTGGTTCTTGGCACGGGGATACTAGATCTTCTGTAAGTGTGAAAGCTTAGATTAGTCTAGGAAAAGGAATAAAAGCATAAATTCCATTTTTTTTTTGAGAGAAAGAGGAAGAAGATCCACTGTTGTAAGTTTCCTTGTGTCAGCCAGGCATGAGCCATCGTGGCTGCAGTCATGACGAGAGGCTAAAGGAGCAGATTCAGGAGTTCGAGGCTAGTCTGGGCTTCTTGACGCTCTGTCTGAACAGCCAAAACAAAACCAGAAAGCTGCCTCTGTAGTGTGTCATTGTGGAGAGTGTCTTTCGAACGTCTGACTTTTGACAGTTAACCACCCTCATGCTGGGCTGTTTTGCATGTTTCATGGCATGGCTTAACCTTTGTGAAGGTGGTGTTCCCGTCCTGCAAGCCACAATGCCTACTCCACGTAAGGTTTGATAGGCTGCCAGAAGTCAGATTTATAGGTTAAATCTTGATTGAACTTCATGGTGTCTTCAATGTTTGGAAAGTCTCTGAGTTAGATGAGATTTTGACTTTCTATTTTAAAAAGGATTTTTTTTTTTTTTTTTTTTTGAGTTTGGGTGTGGGGTTGTGTGGAATCTGAAACTGTGGAGTGGAAAACTGTCTTAGTTCAAGAATGAATGATTGTTGTAGTCAGGAAGTTTTTTGTGGGTTGGAGAGAAGGTTCAGTGGTTAAAAGCACTTGCTGGCTGCTCTTCCAGAGGACCAGAGTTTGGTTCCCAACACCCACATTGGGTGCCTCACAGCTGCCTGTAAATCCAGATCCTGTTCCCTCTTTTGGCCTCTATGGGCACCCACAGGCATATGTCTATATATACATACACACAGATTCACACACATACACATAAATAAAATTAAGTAAATCTTTCTTTTTAAAGGTTACTGTGGGGCCGGGCAGTGGTGGCGCACGCCTTTAATCCCAGCACTCAGGAGGCAGAGCCAGGCGGATCTCTGTGAGTTCGAAGCCAGCCTGGGCTACCAAGTGAGTTCCAGGAAAGGCACAAAGCTACACAGAGAAACTCTGTTGAAGAAAAAAAAAATGGGGTTGGGGATTTAGCTCAGTGGTAGGAAGCACAAGGCCCTGGGTTCGATCCTCAGCTCAAAAAAAAAAAAAAAAGTTACTGTGAGGGGAGAGCATACTAGGGATTGAATCCAAGGCCTTGGTACAAGCCAGGCAAGTGGTCTGCCCCTGAGCTAGATCCTCATCCCAAGAGCAGAGTCCTTCACTTACAATATGTTCCTTTGTGGTTGACTCCTAGGGCTGGAGGTGGGTAGATCATACCCAAGGCAGCAGTGGTCATAGCAGTGTGTGTGTGTGTGTGTGCGTGCGTGCGTGCGTGCGTGCGTGCGTGCGTGCGTAGGGTTGTATGGGTGGGGGCAGGTTACCATATCAAAGGTTTTCGAATTTTGGAAAACGAGCAGTGGTGGCACACGCTTTTAATCCCAGCATTTGGGAGGCAGAGCCAGGTGGATCTCTGTGAGTTTGAGGCCAGCCTGGTCTACAGAGTGAGTTCCAGAACAGGCTCCAAAGCTGCACAGAGAAACCCTGTCTCAAAAAACCAAAAAAAAAAAAAAAAAAAAAAAAAATTGGAAAAATGAAATGACCTAGTGACAGTGGTTACAAGAAATCCATGAAAACACGGATCATCAACAATCTGCAATTGAAAATATTGAAAGAAAAATATCCCCCGCCCCTTTGGATCTTAGAGTAGGATGATGGACAAAAGTTGCTGATACTGATGCATGTGTGTTGGACCAGGACACGTTGATTGAACTTTTTCCTCAGCCATATGATAAGTTAAAATTACACGGAGAAGTAAAAGACTTCGAGCTCACCTTGACTTGATGGTATAGAGGCAGGTAACACTGCAAACTGGTTCAGAAGATTTGGACCGAGGAGAAGACAGTAGACTTAACAAGTTGGATAATAAGGGCAGGAGGTTGACCTGTGGTTACGGGTGCTTACTGTTCTTGCAGAGGACCCAGGTTCAGTTCCTAGCAGTCATATTGAGCAGCTCACAACCATCTGTAACTCCAGTTCCCAGGGATCTGATGCCTCTGGCCTCCACATGCTCCTGCACACATGTGCTACATATAAACTCACACAGGCACATGAACATACATGTAAAATAAACATATTTTAATAATTTAAATAGTAGATGCATAACGACTCTTTTTTTGGGGAGGCGGGTGGATAGGGCCACGGTCCCTCTATGTTGTCCTAGATCCTCTAGCCTCTGCCTCTGTGTGCTAGGATTAAAGGCGTGAGCACTCAGGCTGCATGAGAATTCGTATTTATTTATTTTTATATGTAGGAGTTCATGGAGATCAGAAGAGGGTTTTGGATTCCCCCAGCACTGGCGTTATGGACGGTTATGAGCCTCCACGTTGGTGCTGGGAATAGAACCCGGGTCCTCTGGAAGAGCAGTCAATGCTCTTAACCACGAAGCCATCACTTTAGTCCCTGCACAAGAATTCTTAATGGTTTTGAGATGAAATTTCACAACTAGTAGCAAACACTGACAGCTTTAGATTAACTCTGAGAGCCGTCAAATCGTGGGCCGAACAGCACGGCATAACATCCATTCCGATATATTAGGTTTCCTCCGTGGTGTTCTCTGGGCTGTGAGCAAGAACTTGCCGGTTTTATCCAAATACAATTGCATCTTGTACAGATATTTTTCTTGGCATTTTCTAAATGGTATGGTTTTTAATTATATTACAATAAAAGTGATCGTAGACACTGAGAAAAACGTGCGGAGGTCAGAGGACAACTGTCTCCTCCTACCATCCGTTCTGGGGATCGAACTCTGGCTTGGTGGCAAGTGCCTTTGCCCGCTGAGCCATCTCATCGGCCCATTTTCTGTGTCTAATTATTAACTCAACTTCTTCCTAATTTTCTGTCAGACTAATCAATGAAACAAATGGACTTTTCTCTTCTCAAATTTTCATTTAAAAGTAACTTGGATCCCAGCACTCAGAAGACAGAGGCAGGAGGATCTCTGTGAGTTCCAGGACAGCCTGATCTACAAAGCGAGTTCCAGGACAGCCAGGGCTACACAGAGAAACCCTGTCTTGAAAAAAAACAAGAAAAAAAAAGTGACTTTGATCAGGGAGCGTGGCACATGACTTTATTCACAGAACTAATCCCAGCACTAGGAAGGCAGAGGCAGGCAGATCTCTGTGACTTTGAGGCCAGCCTGGTCTACAGAGTGAGTTCTAATACAGCCAGGGATACACAGAGAGACAATTTCAAAAAACAAAATGAACTTTGAGATCTTTGTTGGAAATATTGGACTCTTTTCCCTCAACATAGTAAGCATTGTTGTTCATTGATTTTTGAGATGTTTTCACTCCATAGTCCAAGCTGGCCTGGAGCTCATTATATAGCCTTGGTTTTCCTTGAATTCATGGAAATCCTCCTGCCTCAGACTCCTAAGTTCTGGATTATAGGTGTGAGCTACCACACTCAGCAAGGATAGTTATTTTCTTTTTTGTTGTTGTTGATTTTTTGTTTTTGTTTTTGGTTTGTTTGTTTGTTTTGTGACAGGGTTTCACTGTGTAGCTCTGACTGTCCTGGAACTCACTCTGTAGACCAGGCTGGCCTGGAACTCACAGAGATCCTCCTGCCTCTGCCTTATCAGTGTGTGCTACCATCATCCTGCAAGGGTAGTTATTTTCATGTGATTTTTAAAATTTGTTTTTGAGACAACTTCTGAGCTGGCCTGGAATTAGATCTGCGAGCCTCTACCTCATGAAATGCGGGGGTTAAGGCATGTACTGTGACTCCCATTTTAAGCACAGTTTTTAAAATTTAGTGTCAGATGATTCCATCCATTAACTTCATCCCCCATGGGGCTGTTGTTGCTCCCCTCTTGTTCTCGAGTGTGTTGTTCTGTCTCTTCATATGCATATTTATTTGTTTGTTTGTGACAGGGTTTCTCTGTAGACTTGGCTGTCCTGGCACTTACTCTGCAGAACAGGCTGGCCTTGAACTCACAGAGATCCGCCTGCCTCTGCCTCCCAAGAGCTGGGATTAAAGGTGTGCGCCACCACCGCCCAGTGAGGAGACATATCTTAAAGCTTTTATTTATTTTTTAAAGCAGTCCCTAAGTTAGGATCACTTACATTTCTGTGTTTTCTCCATAATGCCCTGGCTGTCTTCCATTGTCTTTAAGATCTGTTCTAGGGGACTGGAGAGATGGCTCAGAGGTTCAGAGCACTGGCTGCTCTTCCAAAGGTCCTGAGTTCAATTCTCAGCAACCACATGGTGGCTCACAACCATCTGTAATGAGATCTGGTGTCCTCTTCTGGCCTGCAGGGATGCGTGCAGGCAGAACACTGTATATATAATAAATAAATCTTAAGAAAAAAAGATCTGTTTTAGGTTCAGCTTTCTAGCTGTCCAGGAGGCTTGGTGAGTATTATTTATTCCACTACAGAGAGAAGCAGAGCTCTAGCTTTACAATAACTTCATTTGGGCTGACCCACCCTTCCTTCTTTCCTTCCTTCCTTCCTTCCTTCCTTCCTTCCTTCCTTCCTTCCTTCCTTCCTTCTTTCTTTTCTTTCTTTTTTTCCTTCGAGACAGGGTTTCTCTGTATAGTTTTGGAGCCTGTCCTGGATCTCGCTCTGTAGACCAGGCTGGCCTCGAATTCACAAAGATGTGCCTGGCTCTGCCTCTTGAGTGCTGGGATTAAAGGTGTGTGCCACCATGTCTGGTGTGGTGTGGCTTTTTCTTTCATAAAGAAAGGGGATAATTCAGTGAATTAATCTACCTGAGGTACTTGGAACGGTGCCAGCCAAGCACAACCCCATCTAGGGATTCATTTGTAAGGAAGGACGCCCCTTCACTAGAGGAGGGAGGATGTGGCTGTTGTCTGATGTTCAGTAAATTGAACTGAACACTCCCGTTTGGAAAATGCAAGTGCTAGCTCTCTGCCCTCTGCAGAAGGTAAACCTTGCCTTGTTCTGTGAGGCGGAAGGTGGATCGGTGTGCATGGAAGGTTGGCATTGACTGGGAAGGTGTGCTGGGACACTGTGCCAGGCTCCTTAGGATGGGCTCTTGACTGAAGGGTGTGGCTTTAAATATCAGTGAGAACGGTCCATATCCAGGAAGAAAAGACTTTAGCTTCCTGGACCAACAAGATGGGTCAGCAGGCAAAGGAGCCTGACCTGATTCCAAGGACCCACAATGACGGAAGGGGAAGAACCTAGTTCCGCTGACCTCCACATTCAAGTCACACCCCACCCCACCCACCCACCCCCACGCTAAATGAATAATGTAAAACTCAATGGCTGAGCCGGGCGGTGGTGGCGCACGCCTTTAATCCCAGCACTCGGGAGGCAGAGCCAGGTGGATCTCTATGAGTTCAAAGCCAGCCTGGGCTACCAAGTGAGTTCCAGGAAAGGCGCAAAGCTACACAGAGAAACCCTGTCTCAAAAAAACAAAAAACAACAAAAAAAAAAAACAAAAAAAAAACCTCAATGGCTGAATACCCATGGATCTTATATATAATGTGTACTCATCAGAGGTGACCTGAGCTTCCTCAGAAGGTCCTTTCTTCCTAGTTGTAACAAGAGTTCAAACTGTGTCAAGTCTTTGTCAGCACATCCCCTAGGGAGTAAAGTGACCCCGGGTTGAGACCATAGCTCTCCCGTCTTTGAATTAAATGATCACTGCACACGGCCTCTCATCCCCACTGGTTACACATACATAAAACTACACACAGACACACTAAGAATCCCCACCCACCCA